GGCCTTTGGCCCTTTGTATTCTTGCCTTTTGGATCCTCATGTACATTATATATATATGGTGGCTTTGGCCTCCTAGTAATACAAGTTGCATATTTCCTGACAGCGTTAACACTCCGTTGGCACCTTTTTGACATATATTGCCTTCCTGGTTCTCTCAAGTCACCAATGTGGCAGTGTCATGTCTATGATAGGCGATTTTATGCTCACATAGTGTGTTAGAGAAAGTTAAGTCACCTTGTTTGGTTTCTTATCTGCTTATAAACTTGGAACTTTATTGATATAAAACTAGGAAAGATGACATCTGCTTTGCTTGTATTTCCTTGTCTTCTGTTGTCTATCAACCATTCCTGCCATCTCACTTCTGGGGATGCACTACTGGATTCGACCCACCATGTATGTGCATTTCCTCTATCAGTGTTGGCCCCTTTGCGAAACTTCTGGTACATCTGCACTGGAAGTTTGTTCCATGCCACGCGCATTAACAATCTAATGTTATGTTCTACTCCCTCCGTTCCTAAATATAAGTCTTTTTAGACATTTCAAATGGACTACAACATACGGATGTATTTAGACATATTTTAGAGTGTAGATTCACTCACTTTGCTCCGTATGTAGTCACTTGTTGGAATCTCTAAAAAGACTTATATTTAGGAACGGAGGGAGTATAACAAATCTATTTAAGACATCGTCGCCTTAAAACACTGTAATACTGTAACTTTACCACAAAATGTCAAATATGAACTTTTGCTGCCCAGTCACAGACACGAGTTACTTCAAAAGCTACAAAAATCAGCAAGACGGAAGTGATATTTTGGTTGGTAATATTTTTGTAACAACCATATCTTCTTATTTGTACACATATTTTACAGCCATCATATTCTTAGCTACGGATGGGACATGCTCTTTTTTTGGTGTTTGAAAATGAAAATAGCAACTAAATATTTCTTTAGTCTCAAATCTCTATAAATCTTGGTTGCTAAAACTCAATAGTGATCAGTCATTGGGACTTCAGTTTCATTAGTCTAATGCTTGAATATTGAGGTTCGTCGCAGCTTAGATCACATGGCAGTGACAACCCACAGTTATCAACTAATGATTTTAAACTTATAATGTCTTCTCCCACTTTGTTTTATGTTAGTGATATTGACACGCTGTGTTGTATGGAGGCAAGAGAGAAGAACGGTTCTTAGTCTTGCTTGTTTTATTCCTCGTAGGGGGTCCTCTGTATATAGAAGACCTAAAAATCCAATGTAAGTAACACATCATCGATCTTATTTCTACTTGCTTGAGGACCAAGCTAAAAGATTTCTTCCTAATTTAAAAGATAGACTATCTAATGTAGAGATTGGAGAACTCATCCCTTGAAATCGGAGTTGGGGCACAAGGAGGGGCTGGGGGTCCGACGGGTGTGACAAAGTTTAATTAAACCATTTTATATCATGAAAATGAAAACGATGGTAGTACCAATTTTTCGTATGGAAGCATATGGGAATATCTGCAGAATTAGATACAAGAGTACAAGATTGTATCATAAGTCTTTGAGATTTTGAGTACCCTGCCTTTGTGAAGCTTGGGAACCATGATTTGATATATCTACTCTGTTTAGTTACCAGATGAAAAACTCAAGATGGAGGCCTGTGTTTGCCTTGGAGACAGGTGGACCACCTAACGCAGATGGCGAAGACTTTGAAGAGGACAGTGGTTTTCTTGGCAGGACAAGGCTTGGCCGACTCGCCCAAGCTGCTGGAAGGCAACTACTTGAAAAGCTGAACTCTGCCAGAAGCAAGTCTCCCACAAAGATATTCCTTGTGCTCTTTGGATTCTACACCGCCAATGCTTTGGCAACAATCCTAGGGCAGACTGGTGACTGGGATGTTCTTGTTGCTGGCGTCGTAGTGGCTGCCATTGAAGGAATCGGCATGCTTATGTACAGAAAACCGGTCACCAGGCCTCCTGGACGATTTCAGTCATTTATTTCAATGGTGAACTTCTGGAAAGCTGGTGTATGTCTTGGCCTTTTCGTGGATGCCTTCAAGCTGGGAAGCTGAGTTCTCTGGATTCACCTTATCTTGTTTACGTATCAGTACTGCGGTTGATCCATTGAGTCCATCATAAAGCAAGGATTTAACACCACAAATGGCCATGCGCTCATGGATCAAGTTTTGGTGTTGCAGTTGGCCCAAGTGCTTGCAGAGATAGCTTATACGTGATTGATTTCTTGTTCATCGAGATGTTGTGGAATTAGTGTTCTTCTGGGGTGGTGTACTCTTGGTGAGGACTGATCGTATACCAATGTGTTGCGAGCATCATCTCGCCTCATCAGGACTGAAAATGTACATATGATTGTTGAGTTTCTCTTAGAATCTGAGGCTGTGATGGAACTCTTAGTCGGATGTTCATTTTTGTGCCGCAAGGAAATAATCAAGGCTGCATTGTAAATGCTTGTGCGTAGCATGTGATGAGCTGGTTCTTCTATGCTTTATGAACATGAAGGTTTGTTCTTTCTTTGTAATTTGCTTTGCATTTCTTACTCAGTACCCTCCCCCTTCTTTGAAACGGGAAAAAAAATCTATGAGACCGAGTCTATCTTCTCATCAAGTTGGACCCATGTGATAACATGACAGGTGTCTTGCACACATCTCAAAGCCTTTCTTCCCTGTAGGCCTTAGAGATGCCCTAACGCCGACGCCCAAAACAGACATGATATCCGTCCACGGACTGGTCTGGACTATATGGATGCCCAAAACAGACATGATATTCGTCCATGGACTGGACCGGACCAGTCCGTGTATATGGATGCGAAAGCTGGCCATCCAATCGTATTCCTAAACGTCTGTTTAGGTTTGGCCAATTTGAAATTCAATGGATGCCCAACACAGACATGATATTTGTCCGGACCAGTCCGTGTATATGGATACGAAATCCGGCCATCCAATCGTATTCCTAAACGTTTGTTTAGGTATGGCCAATTTGAAATTCAACTGCACATAATGTTCGATCACAACCAAAAAGAAACTAAAAAGAGGTAGATGTTCATAGTTTTTACATGTATGCTCACAAAAGTATGATAGTCCGCAAGAAAATGAACATTTTGCCCTGCTGGACCGGCTATTTGAGTCTTCATGCTAAACTCTATCGCCGCCTCGTTGCCATCCGCTTCCTTCTCGTTCGCCCCCTTCTCCGCAGTCTCCAGCTCCTTCAAGCGCTTCAACATCCTAAGACGGACGGCTTGCACGATCATCCTTGCATCGCCATCCAACTAGTTCATTTTCAAGGTCAACATTTTCGAATCCTCTGAAGCGGTTGCGATCTCAACCTTCTTCTCTTCGAGCTTGGCCTTCTTCTTTTCAAGTTTGAGCTTCTTATTAGTCGCCGCCATCAAGATGTTAAACCTCTCAACCTTACATATCTCCTTGACCTCTATGTTATCTTGGTCACTGCCCTTTCTCGCTTCCCCTCGGTGCCAATGCCAGTGGTCTTGACGTAGTTGGCAATGAATAAATTCCACTTTGGATGCCCACTCAACTTCAACCAACAATGCATGAGGATGAAATTTCCCTTCTCCAACTTCAAGAACAAGTTGCATGCACGGCAAGGCTACAAATAAAAACATTGCCAACAAGTTGCATATCCGGTCCGGCCAAATGACCATCACATAGAGCATATCCGGTCATGACTGACGCATATAACAACTTACTTGGTCGGTGATTTGTGCTACTTGGCCACCGACTGATTGGTTCCTTCAAATGGCCACAATATTTGGACACGACCTCTTGGATGATGTACCATCGATGGTTGAGCGAATTTGCTCCACGGTTGCATGCGGACGAGTTCATCGGTGTAGGGCCCGAAATGCTTGTTCTTATGGAACCAAGTATGAATGTTGGCCTTCTCTTCGGTGTGGAAATCCAAATGAACCAATAAGTGAAAGGTCTTTGCATGGCTTCTCTTGGCTGACCGGTTGAATACCGGGAACATGTTGAAAAGGAGACACTATGTGATCAACGACAATGTCTACACCTGCCTGCCGTGTTCTTCCCCCTGAAGAAACCGTGACCCACTTGTTTCAAATGCTCTTTTGTGATTGACTGTTGGAACACTGTGGGAATCTCCTGGCAAAATAGTGATTGCAGATTAGCCCTCTTGCATGAGGGAAGCTGTTTATGGAACAAACCACTGTTTATAGAGGTCTTTATCATTGTGGTTGGGGATATGAAAAGAGAGGAATAACAAGCATATGCCATCACTAGTTTCTTGGAGGAACATGTTCATAAGTGACATGTCAATGATGGTACACAGAACAAAGGAGGAATTGCATCCCTTCACCAGGGGCTTGGTGGAATCCATCTAGTTTGTCTAGTTTGGTTGTTCCTTTTCATCCTTCTCTATTTTTCTGTATTTCTTGTGCTTGTGTTTTCTAACTTGTAG